AATATTTCTAAACCTTTTAATTAATCGGTGTGAGTTCTTGGGTAACATGTGTTGCTTTTGGATCTTCATTGTGAATGTAGATTTTTTATTTGTTTCTCTTTAGTTTTTTGGGTTCATTTGGTTTCAATTGTTGATAGCCCATTTTCTTGGTATAGGTACTTTTTTCTTTTTGATTTTTTTACTTAAATCATAAAAAATTAGAATACTAATGTTTTATTCTTTAATATGAGTAGTTCAAAATTTTTTTCTTCAAATCAGATATTTTTAGTCATGGGAGCACCATCACGTAAACCTTTTTTTACACAAGCATATGTTAGTGTTTACCTTATCAAATGAAGAAAAACTATTTATTGAAGGAGATATGAATGGTCACATGGATAAGAACTTTAGTGTTTTTCATAAAGTGCATAAGAAATATGGCTTTGAAAAAAGAAATAATATTGGAGATAATATTTTAAGGTTATACCAAGTGATAATGTAAAAATTATAAGGTTATACCAAGTGAAAGTGTGACAACACAACATAGACTTCGTGTTTAGATATCTTTCACCTCCTATCATCAACACATTTTTTCTCATGCTATTGCATATCTTCTGCTATTTTCTTAGACATAAACAATCTTTGGAGTCTTGGTTTTATGGAAAACTAATGTATGACTTTTTAAGAAATTTGCTTATCAACAACTTTACACCTTGACGTCCCACATGTAGGACAACATTGTTTATCTTTAAACTTTCCCCAAAATAGAGCACAATCATATTTGCTTACATGATTGGCACATAGTTAAGTCCTAGGTCTTTCAAAGTTTTTGTTGCCTCATAATATGACAAAGAAATTATATTAACAGGAAGAGTCTTATTCAAAAGTCTCAATATCGTATTTATTGCCTTGTTACACATTTGACAGTAAACCTTTATGTGTAACAATTTTACAATAAAATACAACCTAGAAATGTTGGTGTATTCTACTAATAGTTCACATTATGCCTCATTCAAAAGTTTACTGAATTTTTCAACTTCTTCCTTACCCAAATTAGAATTAGAACTATGATTATCTTCATCCACTTTGGGAAGTACATCTTCTAACAAATCATACGTACCATCATCTAAATGTTTATAATTAACTACTGTTTCTCCTAAGAATTGGTATTCCCATTAGAGAATCTCTCAAAAGTTGGAATTGTGAAATTAGATTGCTCATCATGATAAATCCACTTGGTGTAACCCTCTGATATACTTTTGAAAAGCAAGTGATCTTCTACCTCATCTTAACATCCAGTAAATACATTTAAGTAGATTCGATAAGGACAATGAATTTTACATTATTCTTTTATATTGGTGCGTATAAATTTCATGAAAGTTAAAACTCCGTAAACATACTTGTTAGAATACTTAGACTCTGTTATCCAACTTTTATCCATTTTAATCATATGTTCCTAAATAATTTGAACACCAAATAAAATTACCATTTAAAATTAGGTAACAAAAAAATCTAGTCACAAAGCATGTGAAACATTCATAATAATTCAATCAGAACCAAGCATCAAAAAATCCAATCAATATAACTATATATATGATGTGCCCTAAACATTATACATTGAAATATTCATATCCCTTAAGCATGCATGTAAAAGGGATCAAGATTCGAACAATTATATATACTCTGACAAAACCTAAGGTTAGTGCATCGCATAAGGATTTTTTTAGCATCTAATAAGAAATAATGCAACTCAAAATTATACTAAAATTTTTATTATTTTTATTTATAATTCTTTAAGTAAAAAAGCTAAAAAGAGACTTTTTTTCTTAGCTGCTGCAAATCAAAAGTAGAATTAGGGACTGTTTAGATTGCTTTGTAACTAAACTAAATTAGAAAATTTATTCACTAAAAAATAACAAATAAGTCAACAAAATAACATCCTCTATTTTGATAGATCATACAAAATGCCAATCCATGTCATAAAGGTATCCAATTCACCATTCTCATTAACATTTCATATAATTATACTACTATCATTGTAACTCTTATAGTGAAGGTTTTGAAAAAAACACGAATTTCATGCTTGTCTTCCAACACCACCTATATCATTAAGCACTAAAAAACACCATAAACATTATATTTCATGTAAACATTCAACTTTAACTTACATGAACATTTGAATTTAAAAGTTCTAATAAATCATTCGAACCAATTATTCCTGCTCTCTAAGAACATTTAGTTTTTTATAATATTTAACTTTTCAATCATAATCCATAAAGTTTATTATTCAAATTTGACATTAGTTGAATAAAGTGAGCCAAACTAATGATATTAATCATTACGCCAAAATCATCAAAATAAACACTTAAAAACATAAAAAATAAAATAAAATCATTTTTATCCACTATTTTGATAGCTTCTGTTTTGATCTACATCTATTTGAAATAAAAAAAAAAATACTAATCCATGACCTCATCTATTCTGTAGTTTTAATTGAAAAAAAGGAAGATAATCAACTAAAATAATTTCTTACCGATTATTACCACTAATACAATATATATTTAAAGATGAAGCCCAATTAAGGAAAGCTAAAAGGTAGATTTTAATATATATTGTAGGCCAATATGATAGGGCTATATAATCAGTGATCAATATCTTTTTTGTGAATAATTTAGTGCCGACTCTGACACCTTTAAATGTTCATCAATTCTAATTCATTGTCCAAATGATGACTTTACCATGGACAAACAGAAAGGGAAACGCAAATTGAGTGGTAAAAATTTAATTTTCAGGTTCTATAAATGACAAAAAAAATCTAATCATAATGTCCAAAATGAAAAACCTGACACTTTGATTCTTTTCAACTAATTTAATTAATTATGATTTAAATGATCATTGATACATCTTGTTAAAGTAAAGGCATCTAACAAAACTGGCTCCTATATCTTAGCTATACCACTAAAGCAAAAGATACTCCAACCAAAAACTAATTGAACCCTGACCTGCCCCTTTGTTCCAACTTTGAAAGTGCATCTTTTGCATCTAATTAATATTTTATATACGTACATGCATATATATATATATATATATATATATATATCCATAACACTATTGCAGCTTTTGCCTTTTAGATTTTATACAAATACATAATCCACTAATGACAAAAAAAGAGGAACGATAATATTTTTCAAAACCCATATTAAGAGTTTCGAAGTGGGATTGTTCTTCAGATACCCTTTATCTCTTATTTCATATTTTGAATAAAAAATTAGATACACAAATTTATTATATTCAAAACAAATACAGAACCAAAGATTAATGTGAACAATCAAATAATTTCTGAAGTGTGAATTTTGAATAACCTTGGTTTCTAGTTGATAAACATTAGCTAAATTTGCTTCATATAACTTTTAAATAGTGGCTTCTAGTCGATTACTTCTGAAAATTGTTAGTGAGGTTTTTGCAAAAAGTAGAAAAGAGAGGAGATGAGGGCTGGTGAAGATTAAACAGTTTTGGAAAGGAGAACCCACAAAATTGTTAGCATGATTTTTGGAGTAAGTGTGAAAAAACCTAATAAAAAATCCTTTTTTCCTTCAAATGGTGTAGTTTGGGGAAAATTATTTAGATTCTTTCTTATATGAAAATTACATTAAATAGTGTAGTATGGATCAAGGTTTAAGTGTTAAAATTCTTTCTATTTAAAATTCATTTTTTACTAAAAAAAATTTCTTTTAACAAAAATTTTAAATTAGAAATTTTTAAAATTTTTAAAAATCCTTTTAAAATTCTAAGCAAAATAGTATTGTAAAGTTTTTATTATATGTAATATTTAATCTATTTTCCTTAATTAAAAAAAATTCATATATATATACTTAAATATATTATGCTTAATAAAAAAATTATATTCTTAAATATATATTTTAAATCAAATCATCACTTATAAGTTATACATTAGTTTGAATTTATTAGTGACGGATAAATAACGTCATAAAATTATTTAAAAGTTTATGATGTCATATAATACTTTGTATTGATGTGAAAAAATTACAATATCATCATTAATTAATTAAAGTGTTCAATTTGTAACAAAAATCAATAATGTTATTTAAAATATGTTAAACAAAATTCCTTATAAATAAAATTTTAAATTAATAATAAAATTATAACGTCACAAAAAAATTTCGTTATCTATATTTGGCCATAAAATTTGGCAGCAAAGTTTTGATAATATTATCATATAACGATTTTATATATCATCATATAAAATATTAAAAATATATTTTTATAAAAGTATGATGAAATATATTATTTGTCACTTTTAACATACCTTGTGTGATGATATATTATAAATCACTTAAAAAAATTATTGCAAATTGTTAGATATACTATAGGACGTCTAAAGACGCAATCCACTTAGTATCATTAGGCACATTCAAGCAAACTTAAAAATAAGAAGAAACACTCTCTTGCTTTACTTTGTGAATAAATATTTGTATATTTGTGCCTTTTTTTTTTTAATTTTACTTTTAATTTGACTAAAATTGTGGTTTTCTTAATTTATTTTATTTTATTTTTAATTCGACTTAAATCTTGATTTTCTTAACTTTTTTGTTAGTCACATCACTCTTAGTGCATGACTTATTATTCCGCTTTTAATGAAACTTAATTAAAATACTATATATTTAATATTTATTATTATATTTACGTATTTAAATTTTATATGCACACATCTCATTTTTAGTTAAAAAAGTAATATTAAAAAATGTTTAATCTTAAATTTAACAAAATAATAAATTTCATCTTAATAGGAACAATAAGATAAAAAATCAATTCTTAATTGAATATTTAACTAATCTAACTCTGTAAATCAAGTTATAGCAAAAGTATTCATGAATTAGATAAGTCAGGTTGATATATCTAAACTATCATACAAGGTCCGTCACCATGTTAAATGAAATAAAAAAAATATATATTTTATTTAATAAATATTAAAATATATTTTAAAATTAAATATTGAACTATTGCATTAACGGTGGTGAAACTGAATAAACAAGTAGGACAAACACTAAAAAACCGAGGCTTTCAGAATCATGGCCATCCATTCCAACGCAGCTCGCTGAGGAAATGTTCTTGTCTTTTCCTATAAATTTGCTTTATGCAATCACCAAACTCCGCACTTCTCAGGTATCAAAATCTCTCCTTGTTTCTCTGGATTTTATTATTCCTAAAGAACTCAGTTATATAGCTTTTTGTTTTTTGTCAAGTGGATCTACATATGCTTTTCAATGGATAGATTGCTGTATTTTAGACTTTTACAGTTGAGAATTTTATCCCATTTCTTGGGTATTTTCCCCTTTGAATTTTGATAGGTATTTGGTATTTTCTTAGTGCATTTCCCCCTTGGAACCCTTGACTTTCTAGGATTTTATGTTTGATAAGTTAAAATTGAAGAAACCTAACATTTTATAACTCACAGATCATATGAACCTCTAGTATATGTGTTTTTCTTTTCTTTCATTTCTTTTTTTTTTTTTTTTTGTGTTGGTGGGGTGGGGAAAGGGGTTTGCTTCTTTGATAGTATTTACTTGACAGTTGCTCTGGGATGAAATTTATCTCATTTCGAATTAGCTTGGCTCTTTTTTGTTAGTGTAACTAAAATTTAGTGACTTTTTTATATTGAGATTTCAAAAGTTAATGGCTTTAAGTGCATTTCTGATGTTTAATAAACTGAGTATGGTATGAAAATGTTTAGAATGGGTATTCTATAATATTTATATATCTTAAAGTTCTTAATATGGGAACTTAATTAGAAGAATTTTGATTGATAAGTCATATTGTCAGCTGTTATAATAATCCTAATGGAATTGAACTATACGTATCCTGAGTCGGTGCTCATTGTCAGCGACTCGACCTCTGCTATTTTAGACAGTAATTGGATGGTAGATTGTTGAAATCAAGACTTTACACCAGGTTGTCTAGAATCTGTTAATATTTTACATAATATTATTTTGTTAAATTTTGGGCACACATGGGAGCTCTTGTAGGGGGCTTAGACAATTTTATTATTATGCTATGTTTATTTATCTTCATTTCTGGCCATTGTTTAGCGTATTTAATGTTCGCTTTTAGGGATAGAATTCTGGACATGGATGCCAGTGCTTCACCAAATAGTGCCAAAATCCAAAAGGTTTTTGGAGGACAGGATGCAAGTCAGGAAAAAGATTTAGTCAGCAGATTGCCTGACGATATTCTTGTTCACATTCTATCATTCCTTCCAACTGAAGATGCTATAAAAACTTCCATATTATCGAAAAGATGGAAGTACCTGTGGGTTTCCATTCCCAACTTCTGTTTTTGTGATCATTCAGTCTGGTCAAGGACCATGAGCCATGACCTGCTTCTAGAAGTTTTGGCTAGCTTCTTTAGTTCAGTAGAGAGCGGAGCCCCTGTTCAAAATGGACCATGCATAGGGAAATTCTATCGTTGGTTAGAAATGCCTGTAGCTGCATCCCGTCTTCGCTCATGGCTGTCTGCTGCAGTAAAGCACAATGTTCAGGAGCTGAAACTTTTCTTACCTAAGGGAATAGAGTTTGTATTGCCTAATAGTCTATTCACTTCCAAATCACTGTGGCATTTTACGTTGAAAATGGATTGCAATCTGAAGCTTCCAGGTTTCATCTGTTTCTCTAGCCTTAAGTACTTGAATCTTCGTGGTGTTACGTTTCAGGATGATCAGTCCACCCAACAACTATTTTCTGGTTTTCCAGTCCTTGAACACTTAACCTTATTTAAATGTAATTGGGGAAATATAAATGAAATTACCATTGAAATTCCCACATTAAAGTCGTTGACTTTTTTTGAAAAGGTTATTTTCGAAGATAATTTCCTTAATTGCAAGATCGTAATTTCCGCATTGAATCTGGAGACTCTCAAAGTTCGCGGTTATCTGAATGTTGAACTTTTACCATGTAACCTACTATCTTTGGATGAAGCATCTGTCAATATTGAGTACTTGATTGATGGGCAGCAAGAACACAGTCATCGCCTGGTAAAACTACTTTGTGGCCTTCCCAACATTAAATCTCTTAAACTGTCAAATGAAGCCCTTGAGGTAATGTTACGTCCTTTCTTGGACACAATTGGAACTAGAAGGACCTTTGTTATCTCTAATTTTTATATTCATTTTATGAAGACTATATTTCCTCCTTACTAAAAATAACTCCTCTAGTTTTTTTCTCTGTGCAGTGTCTCCTCTTTGCAGAATCTTGTCCAGGGCATCTTCCTACGTTTTATAATTTGACTACATTGAATGCATCTATGAATGGTCCTTATGTCATGAATGACGATTATACTAGCGGTGCATTAATATATGTGCTTCAAAAATCGCCAAATCTTAAATCTCTCATCCTTTCAAGGGTATGTTTGTGGGAACTAGATAATGAGTTACCATGTTTATTGCTGCATTTTCACATTCCTAAGCAAGTGGAATTTTTTTTATAGTAAGAATGTTTAGCTTTAATGTTAAATGGTTTTCTGATACATATTTAGGGATTCGAACCAGAGGACGTAGACATGATAATGGACATTGTGCCTGGTTGTTTTCAGCATTGCCTCAAATCTGTTCTAATCTATAATGTTGATGGGGCTGCACAAGAGTTATGTTCCTTAAAATATTTGTACGAGAATGCACCTGTTTTGGAGAGCTTATCTGTCATTTGTTCACCACAATTAACCAAGGATTTAGAGAAACAGGAAGAGATCCGTCATGAATTGGAACAACTTCGTGGCGGCTCTGGCAGTTGCAAGATCGTGTTCCTTCCCTATGGGGCTTCCTTATAAACTTAGCAATTGTGAAAGCCTTAACCATCAATGTCAGTGTTTGATTCAGAATTAGCTTAAATTCTCTTTTGTGAAATTGTTGGTAGACAATGTTCATATTTTTTGTGCGTAATTATATTAACTCTAGCAGGTAAGATGTATCTTTTTGAAGTTTGAGGTTGTATATGATTGCCACCAAAGGATAGACATGATCTTCATTGTTAGTATTAGAGTAGTTACCATCTCAAGCTCTCTGACATGATAATTAGTATTGATATTTTGAGTGGATCTTGTTTTTAATTCATCACATGAACCTTTTGTCTTGCTTTTAGACAAAGTGAGGTGAGCTATGCATAGCAACGTATTCAATGATAGTATTTTCATTTTTTCAAATATCTCATTTTTCAAATGCCAATAATAATAAAAAAAATGGAGTCATATCCCATTAATTTGTAAAGATTATATTTTAATTACACTATCAAAAAGTTAGAACTCATCACTTTATCAAAGCTGTTTAATAGATCCCTCAATAAATTTTGATTTTCAGGTGTCGGTCAATAACTTCGGGACGGGAAATTGACCATGCTATATCTTTCGATTGTCCTGTGATCCATTGGTAGATAGTCCAGTGATTTATTGGTAAAATATTGATATATTAATTTCAATAATTAAGACTCAATTTTTAATAGTTTCAAATAAAAAAAAACGTTATATCGATGATAAACCGTTAAGAATTTTTTTTTTACAGTGGAAAAGGATTCATTTCATCATTAACAACTGTTGTACAATTATCCATTATAGCACTAGATATACATTCAGGGCATTCCTCAATGCAAGATTAGCTGCTTTGGCCTCTGCATGGAACGGACTGCCCACGTCTATTATGGAACCGCTGCTGCTGCTATTACTGCTCCAGTATTATCTCGTGCCACAGCCTACACCATCCTTCTTTGTTTGCAGGTTTGCTGCCCCATCGAAATTGACTTTACTGTCCCATCTCTGGGTCGCTTCCACCGCACTTGTATTCTGATATAGCATGGATGCTAACTGCATTTATTTGATCTCCTCTTTGTATTTCAAGATGAAATTCACCAATTCATGCACGTTCCTTCTCTGAACCCCATGCAATACGTTATTTCTTCCATTCCCGACTGCCCATGCAGTAATCATGCAAAATATTAAACTCTCCCTACCAGTAGTCGAACAGATCTTCTGGACCCATTCTGCACTTGTAGTCTCATCTGCATGATCAGTTTGATCGATTTGCAAGGCTTCCCAGTCGAGACGAGCTTTTACCTACATGTTCTTATCTGATGCAAAACTGTTTCCTCTGTTGTCCCACAGATGAAACGCATTCTGATTACCTCTATTTTTCATTCACTATATAAACCTCCCATTTTATCCGGACAATTTTTCGAGATCAAAATGAGTTTTATTCGGAAATTGGACCTTAATTTGAAATTTTGGATTTAAAAAATTAAAAGTTCAAATATCTTAATTTTAATTTTGATTTTGATTTTGATTTTAGTTTTAATTTTAATTTAGATTTAGATTTTATTTTAGTTTTTATTTAATTTTTGGTCAAACTTAAAAGTAAAAAAAAAGTAGAAGGGAAATATAAAAAAATGGGGTTTTTTTTTTTTTTGAAACTGGCAGAAAGCTTTGACCCTTTGATCCCATATTCGATCATGGATTCATTTTTAGATTCTAAGATTTAGTTATGGATATCTTTGGTCCTTGAATCATTAAAATAAAAGAAAGATCACAGAAGATTTCAATCTTGAAAATTTAGGTAGATTCAGTGAAATCTTGGATTTTTTAGATAAAATTGAGACTTAATCAGAATAAAAGGACCTTAAGTTTCAAAGTCAAGATAATAAGCAATCACGAACTAACAATAATAATTAGGTAGAAAAAATAAGCAATCAAGCAAACACATCAAATTTTTGGGTTTGGTTTCTAGTTTTAGGATTAAATATTTAAAGGTTTCAATTTTTGGGTTGGTTTTAGTTTCTAGGATTTGAAAATTTGTTCTGGAATTGGGATTTTTAAGTTTTGTTTTCAATTCTCGCAATTTTAGAATTTTTTTGGGATTCTAATTTGATCATTGTCTGGGATTCTAATTTTTAAAATTTAGATGATTTTTTGTACTTTTCATATTATTTTCATGATTTTAGGTTTTCAAGCTCATGGATATCATTTTTATGCAAGCCATGAATGCAAGCATGCAATGAGCAATTTTGGCCTAATATTGGAAGCTTATAGCCAAACCATATTGATCCATTAGATCGAGTTTTACTTTCACAAGGACACTCCATCATGTTCTGCCAAAAGAGACCTAATCCTATAGTGCTTCTTTTGCTTAACCATGAAGAAATTAAGTTTGCACAGGGACTATACATTTAACTAGGTCACCTCTAAGAAGGAATCAATTACATATGTGATGTTTGAAGAGTTTCAAGATATCATGGACCCTAGCATGATAGGGTAAAGGAGTTTATCTCATAAAGAACTATATCCATTCGACCATGCAAGGGGAAAGCTTAATTTGCAAGTTCATGGACTCTTCAATCACCATTTTATTTGGCCAATACTCCATCTAATAAAGCTCATGCAATTTTTACCGTAATAAAAGCTAAGTAAATTCGACCAAAAAGCATTTGAAGCTCACCATGAGACTTGTTGCTTAGCTTTGAAGATTTTGACTTAGAGTAAGATTTTATCCATTTGAATTTCAAGAATTGGATAAAAATCAACTTACTCTTAAAATTTCAAGTCTTAGCCGAATCCAAGAAAGGAGAATTATCAAGATTTAATTAAGTTTCAATCAAAGACTAAGATTGCATCATCAAGACCTATTCGGCCAAGCATGCTCAAGCTTCAAGAAGTCCTATTTGGCTATGACTCTTTAAAAGATGAAGATCAAGCTTATCACTTAAAGTTTGAATTTGAAAACAACTTTTGTAAATCTTACCCCTTAGTTGAACCTTTCATTATAAATTGAGAGGCCATTCACCCATTTCTATAATCTCATTCCTCACTTCTCTTCTCTATTTTAGTTTTTAGTTCTCATTTCTTTTAGTTGAGATATTGGCTTAGGTGACAAATTTGCTAATAACAAAGCTTTTGTTTCTTTAACTTCTTTTAGTTCAATTCAAAAAATATTTTCCAAAGATCTTTTTTTTATTGCTCTAAGTTTCTAATCTTGTTTTTACTATATTTATTTTGGCAAAACCATTCTTTTTTTTTCAAGATTGATTCAAGCTTTCTTTTACTTTTTGCAAGACTCGGCCACCACTTTCAATATTGTTCTATGAGTTATTTTCATGCAATATTTATTCCAAGTTTACTATAAGTAGTCGGCATTCTCAAGTTTTTTTAATTTTCAAGCTTTAAATTCTTGTTTTCTTATATTAGTCTTTGGCAATTTTCTTTTACTTTTCAAGTGACAGTTAGTGAAATCGAGATCTCTACCTATACATTGCCTTTAATCTTTATTTCTTTACCCTGCATCAAACCATAAATTTTTAATTGTTTAGATGTAAAACCTTAAGTTTTCACCATTGGTACACAAGAGCAACCCAATATTTTTATCTATAATCCCTGAAAAGACGATACTTAAATATTTACATTTATTACTTGATCTGTGCACTTGCAAACTATACTAAAATTAGCAATCACTGCTACAATTTAGGATGCTCTTATTGAAAATATATGGCATGGCAAAATAAATTCGTTAAAAAAAAAAGAAATTGCAAAACATAAAAAAAATAAAGCATTACGAAACACATTGATGGTTCAATTACATTTACTTTTAATAGAAAAGAATGGTATGATGTATTTTCACAAATTACTTCTATTATCGCATTTTAATTTTATATAAATTTTATTGTTACATATTTCATTGAATATTATTCCAAACAAACACAATAAATTGAGTTGCAATGAAATCCTATAGTTCAAGAATGTTTCAACCGCACTTAAGGCGTTTAGAAGGATAAGGTGATTTTATTGACAACAAGTCCAAAGTTGATAGTGTACGTGAATTTGCAATGACTTTGTAAATGATTTCAACTTGCATTGCTTTATTGAACTAGATTGCTTAAACTAATCAATATTATATGAAATGATAATTGTTTTAAACTTATTGAAAAAGAACCATACAATTTCATTATCTAAAAATATGGTGAAAACTATTGTGTATTTTATTTTTTGATTCTTGTTATGTATTATGTTTGCTAATGAACTCATTTTATAGCATATCAAAGCTTAAAATTTGTTAAAAATTCTTTAATGTGATCGAATTTGTTAACATTCAATCTTTACTTGTCTAGATCTTTTTTTTTTTTTAAGTAAATGTTGACTTTATCAATGGTTTCTTACCTTACTTTATTGAACTAGATAGCTTAAACTAGATAGTTAATTGTTTTAAACTTCTTGTAAGAGAATTATGCTATTGCATTATCTCAGAAATATGGTGAAGACTCTTTTGATCATCTAGATTTCAATCCATAAGCATGAATCGAATTTGAAATTACACACACTCATGTATATGGCTTTGGATTTATGGATAGATCTAAAGAGCGATTTTATTTTAGTTAGTCCAATATTGCAACAATGTCCCAATCAACTTGTGGTTAGTCATCTACACTTTTGAAACCATAGTTACAACAACAAATGGATGAGTTTAGGACTAAGTTGAGGGCTAAGCTTAAGTCTTTCATGGATCAAATGATGCAATTAATGAAGTCTAGAAAAATTCTTCCACCATAATCAAAGATACTTTCTAGACTTGATGATGACAACATAGATTTTAGGCCAAGAGATGATGTAGGACCATGACAAGTTTTTTAAGACTTGTATTATGTTGATTTGGGTTATTTTGGAATACTTTATTATGCTGATTTGAACTTTATGATTTGGATTGTTTTGGAATTTCGACCATGGTAGAAGATTTTGCTATGACTTTATGATTTGAAATATTATATTTTTTATTTTTTTTAAATTTTATGAAATTTGGACTTGGATGTTTTCATTTTATTATTTTATAAGCAAAAATAATTATCAAAATTTAATATTTATCTATTTGAATAAATGTCAAAATTTTAACTACAAATAATAGAATAATAACGAATCATGAATGTTTTTTTTATGAAATTTAAGGATGTATTTAATAATTATCGACGGAATTTAACATATTATCAACGAAATTAATGGAAATATCGAAGATCTTTCATCTTTTACGAATGATTTCTCATTTATTATAAACCAAATTTACCAATGAAAATAATCGACTAGAAATGTAAATTGCCAATGGAACTCACTTAATTACCAAATGAATTAAAAGGAAAATTGACAGATTATTGACAAAACTTGTACAAATGGGTAGTGTACTTTACCTATAAAATCTAACAAAATATCGATAGAATTACAGCTTTTACTAACAAAATTTTAAATGGTTAACTTTGAAATTATACTCTGTGATTAAGGCTAAAATGAAATATCTCTTAAGGTTTAAAATGTGACACTTAACTACTCTATGATTTATTTTATGTTTTTCTACCCAAAACCATTACTTTTTACATTACCTTTTATTTTTTTATTTCTTTTCCTTCTTCTTCATCGCACTTCATTCTCTCTCTCTAAAACTAAACAAATTCTTTCTCTAAACCCAAACCAATCTACAAACAGCAACCTTTCAAACCACTAGAACCTTAACACCACCACTACCATTACAAGTTCACATTATCACCAGATTAGATAGTTATGATCAAATCTAATAAAAATCGAGTAACCTCACCATTACCAGACAATCAACCCTGCCATTAAAACTAATAATCCACCTAAAGAATCAAATAAAATCATCCCCAATAACCTACAAATAAGAAACCAAAAAAAGACAACCAAGTCAAGGATATCTCATTTTCATAGGTATCGAAAGGAAGAGACAAACACTATAAAAAAAAGAATGAAGAGGAAGCCCGAAAGGGTATTTCACGGGTTTGTTGGTGTCAACATATGATGGTGAAATAGCAGCAATGGTGGGGTTCACTGGATTATAAGATTTGAGCATTGGTTGATGAATTTGTTCTTGAAGAAAAATATTTAGAAAAAGAAAAAGGGTTTAGCGGTTTTAGAGAAAGAGAATAAATTTTTAAAAAGAGAGATGAGTTAACGATAAAGTCTAATGATGATGTGAACTTGTAAATGTGGTAGTGATGTGGAAGTTCTGGTGGTTTAAAGGTTGCTATTTATGGATTGATTTGAGTTTAGAGAGAGAATTGGTTTGGTTTTAGAAAGAGAGAACCAATTTTTATAGAGAGGGAGAATGAATTGAGATGAAGAAGAAAAAAATAAAAAAAATAGAAAATGTCACAGTTTTGGATAAAAAAAATAGTAAAACAAACCATATGGTGGTTAAGTATCACATTTTAAACCTCATGAGACATTTTCATTTCGGTCTTAACCATATAATATATTTATGAAGTTTAGCTAATTTTTAATTTATTGATGGAAAATCGATGAAATTTACTGATGGATTTTTACCAAATTTTAAATTTGAATTTATAGATTTGTTTAATTTAGGTTTTTGATGAAATTTAAATGTTACTGATGGAATTTTACACATTATCAACGAAAATTTTTGTCAGTGTTTACTAACAAAATTTTAAAATTATTGACTAAATTTTATTATCAACTAGCTTAATACCGATGAAAATTTTCATCAGTAATTGTTTTATTAATGAAAACATAGTTTTTTCTAACGAAAATTTTTGTTTGTAAAGGCTTAATTATTGGTAGATATCCCACGTTATCAAACCTGCCATTACCACCCTTTATCTTTCGAACCACCAAAACCCCTTACTATCAGCTTATGAACCATCACTGCTAGCTAACTCCCTTATTGGAATTAGCCACCAAAATCCCAGCTCCTCCACAATCGAAAATCACCACACATAAGTCTCCAAACCAAAAAACCAACATCAATCTTCCAAGCTTAACTACCCAAATATCCCAAACCAAAAACCAAAAACTCTTTTTACTTCTTTTCTCCAAAACTCACAAAAAAAAAATGGTATCCACATCCTTTACATTTTAACTATCGACTAGTTTTAAATATATCAATAAATCTTACATAAATATAATTTTTTTTAAATGATAATATAAGTTATGAAATTTATGAACAACTCATAACTTATATACTTATTTTTATTTAAATTTATATATTTTAATATAATAAAATAAATTAATTATATATTGAATATACTTATGCAATTATCATCGATTCTAAAGAAAACTCAAACTATAATTTATTAAATCGAAATAATCTCTAAACAAAAGACAATAATATTTTTGATTTTAAAAAATTAAAAATTTCATCCTTAAAATCAATCTCGTAAACAAATTTTTTTCATGAAAAATTCTTCTATAAGTTGTTGTTAAAGCGAAGATACAACAATTGATTCTATATTATTTTTTGCTATCTTTAAAGTAGGTATCATTTTACTTTATGAGCCAACAGATTTTACAGATGGAAGTGAAGAGATAAATAAAACAATAATCTGTAATTTGACAACAGTTGGGTTATAATATAGACTATATAATTTTGTAACAAATATAATCATTATAATAAGCTTATACATACATCTTTCAATAAATTTTAACATTCAAGCTTAAGATCAAAATCATACATCTTGTTCACTGTAAATTTGGTACTACTTATCTCAAAATTATACTTGATTGTCCTTGTCTCAAACACATAAATTTACCTCTGAAATCTTCAAATATCTCTTGGATTTTATAATCTCCATTTTCTTAAATCATAAGTATAAATATATCATTCAATTAATTTGAATATTAAATAATATTAAAATAATTTTTAACTTAATACCTTAACAGATGTTTCAAAAAGCTCGTTAATATCTCTATTAATTAAAACCTTAGCTTCTATATTGAATTGTACAAACATTGTCCATCCAGAATTATCATATGCTTTAATATTCAACTTATACTTATAAAAAATGTAAAATTCTACAATTATAAATATAATATAATAATTTAAAATACTTTTGTTATCATCATAGAATAATAATTTTTTTATGTATCAAATATAAAAAATATAAATACTAATTACCTTATAGTTGGATTAGGGATATCAACATTGTAGGAATAACATTGAAATTTCTCATTAATTTTAAATAGTTTTTTGTTACACGCATATGACATGTAATACCAACTAAAAGTGGCATCAACTTTCATGATAGTGACTCTAGTGAAAGACTTTCCCTGTATATACGCATTTATCTTTAAATCAATCATCAACAAAAAAAATATTAAAAAAAAAGCTAATATCATAGTTAAAGAAATATAAAATATAAGTATAAAAAGAGAATAACCTTTGAGCAGTACAGACTAAAAAATGATGCAAAGTGAAAATTAGAGAGAAAATTGAAGTAAAGTTGAGTAATGATCAAAAGATATAAAATTAATAAAAAGAGGTTAAGGATGCATTATGCTTAACCTAAAGCTACTTATACAAAAGGTGTATTGTAGGTTAATTAATAAGATAATTTTAAATTATAAAAATCAATATTGAAATAATAAAAATTGTGAGTGAATAATGGTCTAACAATAACAAGTTGATTGATAATGAAATATTTTATTCCGCCATTAACATTTAGAAATCCTTTAATTTAGAACAATAAAAAAAATTAAATTTATTGTATTTAATAATGACAATGAAACAAATTAAATTTTAATTAAATCAACATGCATTAATATCTAGATTTTAAAATTATAAAACATTATAAATGAAATCCAAATGCATTAATATTTTATCAAATGAAATCAAACGTGTATTAATATTTTATCATATGAAATCAAATAAAATCATATTTAATGAAATATAAATCTATCAATCAAATATAAATTAATAAAATATTTTATTCCATTAATTTAATTGTGGAAAATTAATTTGATATATTTGCTTTATATATTTGCATATGAAATACATCAATTACTCATATGGATACTATATTTAATCAAATATAAATATATCAAATAATTTATTAAAGAATCAATTATTTTATAATTGTAATTGTAATATTTATTAAATTATTAATTATATATTGATTGATTTAATTTATTAAATTAAGAAATTTTTAATATTTTAATAATTTTAATATAAATTGAATTGAGAGTGATTTAAAGTCAATAATAAAAACATAAATATAGTCAATTAATAAGATATTTTTAAATTATAAAAGTTAATATTAAAATAATAAAAATTGTGATTAAATAATGGTTTAATAATAGCAAGTTGATTGATATTGAAATATTTTATTCTACTATTAATATTTAGAGATCTCTTAATTTAGAACAATAAAATAAAATAAATTTATTGTATTTAATAATGAGAATATAACAAATTAAATTTTAATTAAATCAACGTGTATTAATATCAAATAATAAAATTATAAAACGTTACAGATGAAAACAATAAAACCACCGTGTATTAATATTTTATCAAACAAAATCAAATGCAATCATATTTAATTAAATATAAATATATCAATATAAATTAATAAAATATTTTATTCCATTAATTTAATTATGAAGAATTAATTTGATATATTTGTGTTATATATTTACATATGAAATACATCAATTACTCAAATGGATATTATATTTAATAAAATATAAATGTATCAAATAATTAATTAGATAATCAACTATTTTATAATTGTAATTGTAGTATTTATTAATTATATATTGATTGATTTAATTTATCAAATTAAGAAAATTTTAAATTTTAAATATTTATAATATGAATTGAATTGAAAGTTATTTAAAATCAATAATAAAAACATAAATATAATCAATTTAGTTTTTTGAATTATTTTATATATTTACACATGAAATACATCAATTATTGGATACTAGATTTTATCAAATATAAATGTATCAAATGATTGACTAAAAAATCAACTATTTTATTATAATTGTTATTATAGTATTTATGTATTTATTAATTATATATTGATTGATTTAATTTGTTACTTTAAGAAATTTTTAAAATTTTAATATTTTTAATATGAATTGAATTGAAAATGATTTAAGATTAATAATAAAAATAAAAATATAATTAATTTAATTTTTTAATTATTTTTAAATTAAATATATATTAAATAAAATAAAATATATTTATTAAATATCACGTGATAATTTTTAAGACCGTTCACATATTAATTTTTTAAGCCATTCACATAAAATTCTTTTTATTTTTGTAAAACCTTTGACTTTTATATATTTATATAAAATTAGTTATCAAGGCAAAGTGACGAACACAAATATATTTTTAATATTTTAATATATTTTTAAAAATTTTTATTTTAAAAATTAATTAAAAAATGACATGTCATGTGCTATTTTTATTGACTAATTTACATTTTAACGAACGATTAGTTATCCAGGCAAAGTGATGAACGTAATTGACAATCGAATATATGACTGCAAATGTTTCTTCATTAAATATTAAATAGTAAAAAATATAAAATTCGAGTACAATTAAGCGCTTTTGGTGATGAGCCAGCATGTCCTCAAATCGCTAACTCCCTTGGTAGAAACTTGTACTTCTGACGACGCGTAAGATTGGAAGACAAGGAAAGGAATATCCCACCTCGTCTACGCCGATCCTCCAAATTCTCATCAAATCAATAAGTCAAAATCAAATCTAAATCCCTCTCCCTTTTTTCACTCTCTTTCTTTAAGCTATCAAATAAGCAAAGAAGATGAAAAGAGTCTTCGGCGCTAAGAAAGACAAGGAACCGCCGCCGTCTATTGAAGATGCCTCCGATAGGGTTTCTCTCTCTCTCTCTCTATCTCCTTTTTCTTTTGATTTTGATTTTGATTTTTCTTTTGATCCGTGATTTCTGACTAGGTATTAGGGCTTATCTGTTTTGATTAGGCAGTTTTATTTGAAAATCTTGTAATTTGTGAAATAATATGGATGAGATTTTGTAATCAGATAAATAAAAGAGGGGATACGGTGGATGAGAAGCTGAAGAAGCTGGATGCTGAGTTGAATAGGTACAAGGAACAGATAAAAAAGACAAGGCCTGGCCCTGCTCAAGAAGCTATTAAAGCTCGAGCCATGAGGGTTCTTAAGCAAAAACGAATGTACCTGCTTCTTCTCTATCAAATTATTCCTTAATTTTCTTCATAATTATTGCAAAACGCTATTTCTGTTAGTTTCTATGTATGTAGTCTCTTTGAAGTATGGAAATTCTTTTACTTGGTATGATATATGATATGTTGGATGGATTGTAATAGTCATTTAAGTCGATGGTTTGTTTCATGGAAATCTGATGCTATGTTTACCTATTATTTAGTTGAGTTTGAAATCATATAAAGTTTTTTTTTTCTTAATTTTCTTTTCATCATATCTAATACTTATGACTTTTGGATAGGTATGAAGGGCAACGTGATATGCTTTACAATCAGACGTTCAACCTTGATCAAGTTGCTTTTGCCTCTGAGGGTCTTAAAGATGCTCAGCAAACTGTATGTGGTAGCCTTTGACTTCATTTTATATATCTGATCTGCTGCAGGCATGCAGTAACTGCTAACATTTTCTTCTAATATGATATTGTTATGTGCTCATTCATCGATAATTGCTCATGCTCTGTATGATTTTTGAGGAGCATTAACATAATTGAGTAGTCATTAGCTGTTTTTTTAAGATTGGTTGTACCTTCTACCTGATATTAAATGTTTATTACATGTTATGGTGGACTTATTGGGGCTATGGTATATTTATGGTAAAAAAAATGTCTTTTTTGGTACCAGCACAATTCAAGACAATTCTGGCAGAGCTTTTTCTGTTCCTTATTTGAATTGGCTGCCTATCTCATGAGAGGTAGGAGATAAACTATATGTCTCCGGGGAGAGGTTTCTTCATTGAGTATGTGATTAATGATTAATCTATACCTTGAATTCTTTATAGTCATTGTGTCATCAGTTCAAGCCAATAAGATAGGGATACCCTTGAATTTTCTTGCATAACCTTTTTTTTGAACTACTTCATCACTTTGCAAATTTTAAATCATATTTATTTTCCTGTGCCAGATGTCAGCCCTGAAATCTGCCAACAAGGAGCTGAAGGGAATGATGAAGACTGTGAAGATTCAAGACATCGACGTCTGTACTTTCTTTATACCATCCATTCTCCATCTTACTTCCACTATAAGGAATTTCTAGTGATATTTGATTCCTATTATTTATAGAACCTGCAAGATGAGATGATGGACCTGATGGATGTTAGTAATGAAATTCAAGAGACCTTGGGCAGAAGCTATAATGTGCCTGATGACATCGATGAGGATGAACTCATGGGTGGTAAGCTTTGACCTGATCTAAAGTCACAAGCTTGGACTTTAAAAGTTTAAATTTTACTTGGTTTTTAGCTTGTATAATTTGATAGAAATATTGCTGATTTTGTTTTACCTGTAAGAATGGAAGAAATAAATGATGGAAATTGTATTGCAATCTTTGTTGTTGTTACTACTATTTGATTTGCAAAATAATAACTTATCCAGCCCTGTATAATCAGTGTCAAAATCTTGGGTTATCGGGGCCTGCACTTCTAGGTTCAGTGTCTGAAAGACTTTAGGGAATGCTAGAACTGCATGTAACTGATTTGTTGGCTTGCCCTCTATATTTTTATGATAATCCATTGTGGATTGCAGAACTTGATGCTCTGGAAGCAGACATGGGAAGTGAAGCTGATGGTGTTCCCTCCTATCTTCAACCTGATAAGGAGGAACCTGATTTGGATGCAGAGTTCAATTTGCCTTCAGCACCCACCGGAAATACAGCAGCACCAGCTGGCAGGTCCAATGCCCAGGTAAAACTGTTACCCTGCAATTTTTGTCAAGTTTAATATTAGCATCCAATACAAGAATTTATAGTTTTACCTTCCATAGGCTGCACAATGTGCTTAACAATTGTGACATTTGTATTGTTGATCCCATTCTTTCTTTACACTCCATGTTATATATACATATTTTGTTCAAACATGTCAGTTTTTCCCCCTTTTTGGGTCCACTTCGCTTGCACTATTCCTATTTTTTTTCAAATGACTGTTAGATTTTGCGTATGGTTTATACTTCCATCTGAGCTCATTGTCTCTATTGTCAGTCCCTAAGCTTTTTGCATTTCCACCCATGGCCATTCACTTGTAACTATTGTTGATAGCTGGCTTCTTGAGCTTCTGTAATTTATAGTAGTTATCATTGGTTTTTAGAGCTGCTGAAATATCTATATCTTGAGATTTGATTTTGCATCTCTATTTATTTTAACTTTGATGCTGAGCAGGGTGAGGATGAACTTGGTTTGCCTGCTGTCCCTCGAGCATCTGTCCGCAGTTAGATGATCTACTACGAAGCTTTACTGCATGCATATAGGAGGAAGGTGGATGGAACATGCCCTTGTAAACATATTGTGCAGAATTAACTTCTATTACTACTGTGATTTAATTGATTTTAATGGGTTGGGATTTATAATAAGCATTACTGCGTAAGGGTAAAAATGGTTTTGATGGGAATATTAATGTTATGATCGCCAGGATCACACTGCATGATGGAACCTTACTATGAGTAAGTTATAGGAAATGTAGTAGGGTCGTCTTATGGTGAATAGGGTATGTGGTTGACAAATGAAATATTGATGGATTGCTTTAATCTATATGTTTTTTGTTTGAGTGGTGATTCTTGAAATGGCTGATTGAAAACTGATAAAGCTTACAACCTCTAGGTGGGAGATTGAATGATTATGAGTCCTGTTTAACAGTAAAGCTAATGTTCACAGATCAATGAAGGGATTGAATGGGAGTCGGGTCTCGGGTCTAATCATTAGTTACCCAATTCAGCCCATATTAAAAAAATTTCATCCATGGTAATCTTTTGTGACTACAGGAATTTGAAAAGTTGGATTTGATTTAGTAAACACTTTTACTAGAAAAATGAAAATGTTCATTGCTAAACCCCAACTTATAACATGTATACGTGTTATTGCTCAGCCAAGAAGCAAATTATTTATTCATAAAGTTGGAAGGAATAGTAAGCAAATCATAATTTTATTTATCCATTGCAACGTATGATAAATTCCTTTGGACATACTAAAAAAATTTTTAAAAAATATATAAGAATTTGCTTAAAAAAAATGTCGTGATCTAATCCAACCCGATCTGATTATATTCTGTTTGAGATGAGTTGGGTCGTTCCGGATCCAAATGGAGACGGTCTAACCGCTGCTAACCGGAACTATTTTTATCAGTCCAAACCCAACCTGAACGAAAAACCGGTCCAAGTTATACCCCAATGAAAATCCGTACCGATGCAATCTCCAAAAATGACTTGTAAGTTAGCTACGAGATTTTGAACCGTTGGATCTAGCGACGGATGGTTGGTCATTGGATATGTTGATCCTTGACATGGACAATTGTTTTGCTGTAGCAAACAAGGGTATAGGCATGGAGAAAGTAAATGTTTGAACCTGCAGGATAACTAAATGAGCAGGCAATTAATAACGTTTGTCATTGTAGGACAATAAAAAACTAGTCAGATGAAATTTGCAGAATTAATCTTACTCCGATCAAACCTATTTCTTAACTTTTGAACTTTGATGCAAAATAACTCCAGGATCTTCTTGAATTAACGTTTTTTTAACTTTCTTATCTGCAACAGAGCTTTCAGCCGAGCAGACTCCACACTGATCATAGTGGAGAAACCTTTCGCTTGGCAATGGAGGGAAAGAGTATTTTCTCTAGTGAAAGGAGAGTGACTCGTTGGAAGGAAACAGTTTTTCACAACTTTTCTGGTGGTTAGGCAGATGTTGTGTTCACCTGGTCAAAGACTTTAAACCGTTCTATTATCATTTTTTAAGACAATAATTATGATTTAATTCAGAATCAATTCATTAGGATAAAACTTAATATTTATCCTTTGTAAAAGACTAGTCAATATGGATTATCCAAGGAGTCTAACATCTCCCAATCTCAAATAATAAGGAAACCATCCTCCCATTCCTTTAAGTTGTCCCAATACAAAGTTCATACAGGTTAATGAACCATGTAATCGCTGAGTTCATTTTAATTCGGGAGCTTTATATTAAGAGCTCGTTAGAGCCAGCATACCGATATCAACCTTTAAAATTATAGTGTCTAAATCTATTGGGATCACATCAGATTATGTATATCAAATCCCTCGATGAGCATACTTCAACCATTCCTCATGTTGCAACTTGTATTCACAATTGTGTCAAAGCTTTCAAAAAGTGACATAATGAGTCAACCTGAAATTTAGGGCATTGATGCGGTATCAAATAATCTTCCTTTCTTCCTCATGCCACTTACTTCAGAACATACTGCTTTTCCATTAGTGTCCCGTATAACCGAATTATCCATGTTCTTAGGCAACATACTGTAGTAGCAAATATCCTTTCCTCACCTTATGGCATGATCAAAAGTCAAATAGGGTGGAGGTTTTCTTGACCTTCTTAGAACTAGAACGGTGAAGAAGTAGAGATTCATTCCTTCACCTCCTATATTGGTCGTAAATCTCATGTATTATCAAATATATAAGATACTCTGGAGCATCTCTTAGAACGTACGTCAAACTTCAAATACCGTACAGACCTTAATTCAATCGCTTTCAAAGTGCCTAAGTTGAGTCCCTATGGATTCATTTCATATATCAAAGTATTTTGAAATAAAGACTCAATATTTGGAGTTGATAAATTAGATACAGATAGATCATATCTTGTAAATTTTCTCAACTTTCCTTTTGTCAATCAATCCCTCCCCTTTTATCCTTTCTATTGTGCTCTTTAGGAACTAAACAAGTAGATTTCTTTCTTATAACATAATGATAAGCATAATAATAACTTTTCTATCTTTTTTTGTCACTCATATTTTATCATCATAATTTTTTTTTCAATTATTCGTGGACTCTAGACTGTATGCAGTCTAAATAACCCACAAAAATTTTGACATATTTTATTAATATCTTGATATAGATAGGAAGTTTCTTCGTCTCAAAATTTGAATAGAATAATCTTTATTATTTGAAATGATTCTTTCAAGCAGTTATCGAAAAAGAGCAATTGCTTCAAATTTTATCAATTAAAATATCTGGAAGTAATATAATTTATACTTCACTCAACCATTGAAATTCAAAGTGGATTCTTATTTTCTACTTCTGTATTCTTTTAGATTTAATGACTAAGTAGTGAATAAAAAATACAAAGAATAAATTTATGGGGCCCTACTTTATAATTTATAATATAATGAAAGTCCTACTTAATAGAAAGATTAGATCAGATAAAATCAACGAATGAGGTGGGTTTATTAACAATTCGTAGATGAAAAAATGGCAAAAATGAAAGCATTAACTCTCCTTCTATATTTTGCATCTATAGTATTTTTGCCCCAATGGATCTCTCTCTCATTTAATAAAAGTTGAAAATCTTGGATTACTAATTAGTGAAATATTAGGCAATAAGAAACTTTTTTTAATGATATTCAAGAAAATAGTATCCTAGAACAATTCATAGAAGTAGAGGAACTCCTTCTATTGGACGAAATGATAAAAGAATACTCAAAAACACATTTACAAAAATTTCATATAGGAATCCACAATGAAACGATCCAATTGATCAAGATGCACAATAAGGATCATATCCATATGACTTTGCACTTTTTGACAAATCTAATCTGTTTCATTATTCTAAGTGGTTACTCTATTTTTGGTAATAAAGAACTTATTATTCTTAACTCTTGGGTTTAAGAATTCCTATATAATTTAAGCTACACAATAAAAGCCTTTTCTATTCTTTTCTTAATTGATTTATGTGTAGGATTCCATTTACCCTAAGGTTGGGAACAAATGATTGGTTATATTTACAAAGATTTTGGATTTGCTCATAATGATCAAATTATGTTTGGTCTTTTTTCTACCCTTCTAGTTATTCTAGATAGAATTTTTAAATATTGGATCTTCGTTATTTAAATCATGTATCTCTATCACTTGTAGTTATTTATCGTTCAATGAATGACTGAAAAATTATTCACAAATTCAATTAGAATCTTTCTTACTTTGTACATAAGCAAAGAGTGCAAAGTCATACTTACTTACTCTTTATACCCATCAAGGAAATACAATTCCTCCTCTATTTCAATAATTTTTTTTATAGTAAAAGTAAATAGCAGAATTGTGGATAAGGAACTATACTAATGACCTACCTAATTTTATTGTAGAAATTTTCGAGATCAATGGTTGGACCATGCAAAATAAAAATACTTTTTCTTTAATAAAGGAAGAGATTACTCAATCCATTTTCGTATTGCTGATGATCTATATAATAATCGGTGCATCTATCTCAAATGCATATCCCATTTTCACGCAACAGGAGTATGAAATCCACGAAAAGCAACTAGGCGTATTGTATGTACCAATTGCCATTTAGCTAATAAACCCATAGATATTGAGGTTCCACAAGCAGTACTTCTTGATACTGTATTTGAAGTAGTTGTTAGAATTCCTTATGATATGCAACTGAAACAAGTTCTTGCCAATGGCAAGAAAGGAGTTCTGAATGTGGGTGTTGTTCTTATTTTACTTGAGGGGTTTGAGGTAGCCCCATTTGATCGTATTTCGCTTGAGATGAAAGAAAAGATAGGCAATCTGTCTTTTTAGAACTACAACCCCTTTAAGAAAATATTCTTGCGATAGGTCCTGTTCTTGATAAAAAATACAGTGAAATCGCATTTTTTATTCTTTCCTTAGACCCTACTAGTAATAAGGATGTTCATTTCTTAAAATATCTCATATATATAGACCAAAATAAAGGAAGGGGTTAGATTTATCCTAACGAGAACAAAAGTAACAATACAATTTATAATGCCATGCCAACAGTTATAGTAAGCAAAATCATACAAAAAGAAAAAAGGGGGTACAAAATAACCATAACGGATGAATTGGATGGACATCAAGTGGTTGATATTATCCCCTAAGGCCAGAACTTCTTGTTTCAAAGGGTGAATCTAGCAAACTTGATCAACCATTAACATGTAATCCTAATGTGGGTGCATTCGGTCAAGAGATGCAGAAATAGTACTTCAAGATCCTCTACATGTCAAGGCCTTTTGCTCTTCTTATAATCTATTATTTTTGCACAAATCTTTTTGGTTCTTAAAAAGAAACAAATTAAAAAGGTTCAAGTGTCTGAAATGAATTTCTAAGTAGACTACTAAGGTTCGTGATTATCAAACTCAATTTGAAAAGTTACTAAGTAGATCAGGAAAAATGACAACGCATCAATAGATTAGTTCTTTTGTTAGCAGTCTTAAGAATAACCTTTTGAGTAGATGTGCAAGCAACAAAACAAGTTTCTGTCACAAATGCTATTGGATGGGAGAGATTATATAAAGCCAAGTCTTTGGCTCAATTTATCGCTCTTCCTGAAGAAAAAAAAGATATGACGCCTACAATTAAAAAATTATTTGTCGTGAGATGCAAGAAAGGAGGGAGAAAGATTTATGTTTTAATAGTGATAACAAGTTTATGCCATGGCACAAGTGTAAGAAACTATTTTTAATTAAAGGTGATGATAAATTAATTTTTAAAAATTTAATTCTTGAAGAAAATGATGTTCACATAAGGAAAGGAGTGTTACCTATTCTAGGATGGGATTGACAGATAAGATTAGGATTAGGATT